TAGAAGCCACCTTATTTTTAATTTTAGCTACAGCCCGACTTCTCGGATGCTTTACACAAGCTGTGGTCACGGTCATTCGAGTTTTAAGCAGTTAACCGTGTTTTATTTAAATATTGTTTTTTTTTTTATAAATATAATATATATGTACACTATGGATTTCTTTTCCATGAGCAAAGTAATAACTTCTATTAAGCAAGGAATTTTTAATAGATATAAATTTTTTCGTCTCTCTCTCTTTTGACATTTGAATCTTGTCATGTATTGAACAAATCAACAATCAATGATTTAAGCCGTTGCTGGGATTTCTACAGCAAAAATATCTTTACATATTATATCTTTATGAGTTGCTATTTGGATTTATGTATTTCCCTCTAACATACGCCACATCAATGTATGTAGTAGATGTAACATTGAATAAAATGTAGTGTACAAGACGCACGGTTGGTAACACGAATAAATTACATTTCATTGATCGAGACTCAAAAAGGTGTAATTGCTTGGTAGATGCATCTATTGAAATGTAATCAGCCAACAAGAGAGGAATCACGTACTTATTACACGATTTTTAGGGTTCTTGGTTTGTCGAAGAACATATAACGTTTATACATATATACTATAAATCCCAAAATGCTAATAAAGGTAAATACAGCATATTTAACGGTTTAAGACGAGATGGGGTAACTTTTTACCTAAGTTTAAACTACGACCCGACCAGATGCACCAAGCCTATTCACGTGAAGGTAAAGTTTAACTAAACTATGCTAACGTCTAGCGCGTTTTAAACCGTTAAATGTGTCCTATTCGCATAAAGAACAGACCATGTTTAATGGTAATAAAATCATTAAAATATATTTTAAAAAATCATCCAAAAATACCTAACCTATACCTAAATTATACGTATATCTACAATTTTGACCTATAGGAACTTTATACAAATTCTTGATATTCTGTGTATTAAATGGTATTATAATGAAAATAGCGATATTTGCAAATGTATTTTAAATTTTTAAATAAATTGTTTAAAAAAAAATTTAAGTTGAGAGCGCTCTTTGTAAAATAAAAATGGAGGTACATCTACTATAATATTGATTGATGTCCAAATCTAATGAAACCAAAGCTTTTATTGGATTATTCTCTTATCAATGCAGCACTTAGCAGTTAGCCCGCTAACTGCTAAGTGTGTGAGAAATTTCTGTTTGATTAATATTTAATTACAGCTTCACATACCTGCTGTTTGAATACATCATTTAAAATTCAGCTTATTTCATACCGAGAGGTTGATTGTGAGTGTAAAGAATATAATTATAATTTGTATACATGTAAACGGTCAATGGGTATAATATGGGTACATTAAACAATGTAAGCTTTTGTTTAAATTAAACAAGAATCGCTAAATTGAACTAGACCTAGTTTTGAATGATGAAACAAAAAAAGAATACAGTCTATAACACGGGGCTAAGAACTGACATATTTGTTTTAAATAAAACACTTTAACGGTTTTAAACGCGATATATTAGTTAAACTTATTTGACAATGATTTTAAACCTCGCCCCGACGTTTCGGATGCTTTGCAGCAGCCGTGGTCACGGGGAGACTCGGACGGGGATATTTATTTTCTTAAACGCAGAACCATAAATTGATATAAACTATCAATTTTTTACTAGATAAGGAAAGATAAAATTATTATACAGATAATACCTATCTATATATTGTCTGTAGTTTGCGCGAGTGGTAGGTACACATTTAAATAAAACACTTTGACCGGTTTAAAACGCGATATATAATCAGGTAACTGCCCCCCCAAGCATCGAGACCCCGGCTGTTGGGGAATAGGTTTTTCGTAATACATATCCGCAGACGATTTTTATGTCTAGATGATGTATTTATTTATTATTACATATAAGTGCGGCGTATATTGACACTATAAAGTATTCGTCGTTGAAAATGCAGATAAAGAAAAAGAAAAAAAACAAAAAAATATTCTGGCAGCGGTGGGATTCGAACCCACGCCTCCGAAGAGACTGGTGCCTTAAACCAGCGCCTTAGACCGCTCGGCCACGCTACCAATGACATTCTGTTTGAAATTACTGCATATTAACTCAAAAGAGTAAAAAATGTATATTTAGAACAAACATGATAGAAGATCGCCAAATATTTTTATTGAGTTAGGATTAGGAGATAATAATGTTTGTAAATATGATTAAGTAAAGGATTAGTGTAGGTTTAATTTAGTATAGGATAATTTTACTAGTCAGATTAACACATAAAATACATATACCTATTTCAAACTAGCTTGAGTGACGTTGCTAGTGGGCTGGCTACAATAATTTAATATTTTAACATAAGTGTGCCGATCGGCAAAGGCCTCCTCCAACCTTTTCCACTCCCTTCTATCTCTTTTCCTTTTCCCTTCCCTGGGATACCATTCTGTTACTTTCTTACTCCATTTCTCTTTTCCTCTAATTGTGTGCCCAGCCCATTTCTAATTCAGTCGCCTAATTTTATTTACTAGGTCTATTACTTTCGTCTTACTTCTTATTATTTTATTCTTTTGTCTGTCTGATCTTTTGATGTCGTTGATTATTAGTTCTCAAATAATAAACTTATTACATAAAATATTGCAGTGATTTCACATTAACTGTATACTGGACAAAAATCTCCTTTCGATGTATTGAATAATGCTGTATTAATTGCGTAAACTGCAGATAGCATTTCATGTAGTTTAGTACAATTTTAGCGAAATGGGGTCACAGTAACGTCTCCCGACGCGTAACGAATTCCTGGTTATTCCTACTGTGCTATCAAGACTGTATAGTATAATAACAATAATAATGTAACCATGCACACTGCTGTAATAATCCCATGCAACGTTGCGGTTTTTAATACCCGCAATAGACATTTTCCATGAAGGAAATTACACCAATAGTTGTAGAGTGGGATGTGCTACTGTAATTGTAACTTATAACGTTGATTACATTGTTTCAACTGTCTTAGACCATTTATGGGAGGGAAAATGTACTGCACTTTAGGAAAATATAACTACTTAAAGCAGTTTAAAAAATCGGTAAGGTTAAACACAGTAAAATATTAACATTACGTATCTTATAGATAAATACCGTTTGCTGTATGTAGAACATAAGACAAACATACTTATTTGTCTGTTTCAGTATTAGATTTGTGATTGATAATTACGCCCATTTTTATTAAATTGTTTATATAACTAAAATCCTTTTATTTTAACGGTTTAAAACGCTTAATATGTTACATCAGTTCGTCTTATTTTTGTTTCATTTAGCTATGACCCAACGTTTAAAACAGTTAGGTGTTTTAATTAAATGTGTACGAAGTATCGAAATAAAACAATTTAACTTACAAAACGATATAATATATAAGTTAAACTTTTTTGAAAATTATTTTAACTACGCTATTTTTATACAGCGCGTTTTAAACCGTTAAAGTGTTTTATTTAAATGTGTACTACTCGCGTAATCTACAAACAGTATTTGAGTGCTAAGTACTTTCGCAAACTACAGACAACATTTAAACCCTGTTAAGTGATCGAATGTGAATTTAAAATATGTTTTCTGATACTATAAATAATGCTCTCATTGTGTTAATTTAGATGTGTCATCCAAAGGCCCAAGCCTCGTATTCAATTGTACAGTTGAACATAAAGAAAAGAATTCTTAGAAATTATCTCCCATGTACTCGCAATTAATACAAAATTAAGAATCGACGACTTGATATCGGCAATTTGACGTAATTTTCGAGTTCAATTATACGAATTAAATAATTATTGCGAAGGGCTTTAGTTTAATTTACCAATTGTTCACCTCGTGTATTACAAATCGCTGGTAGTTTAATGAGAGAGGAAGACAGACAAGCACGGGGGTCACTATATACGCGTATAGCATTTAAACAAGATGCTCTGTGTTGGATATTCGGAAATCCACAGAAACCGAAACGCGATTAAACTTGCCTGTGGTGGTTCGTGACTTGGACGGAGTTCCTATTCCTACCAATTAATATCCAGATTTTCACACTAAGTTTGGCATGTTTCAGAAAAATATAAAAAAATGACAACAATATAAGCAGGACTTCAAGATGAAATAATGTATACAACCAGTATTTAAAAGTCGTTTATTAAACTTATACTAACGAAGTCGATAATGCTAGTCTTAAATCTTCAAACACTAACACCATAGTAAACTCAAATTTCTTATTATGTACAAATAAAACATTAAATACCTAATTTAGCCTCATTAGCAACCGTAAGGAAATTTAAGTCAAAAATAATTGCACAACCGGCCGGTTCAAACATGTCTTATAATTTACAAGTTATCGTCGAATTAACAATTTCTTTTAATTATACTAACTTAGTTAATATACAATGAAATATTTACACGAACAGATAAGACTTCTTAATTTAAATAATAATTATTTAGAGCACTTACAGAAATAATAGTTACAATACAATGTACAGTTTCAGTTCTTAATTCTAACTGAGGTAAACGTCGGTGAGGTAAGGCCTAAAATTATTTTAGTTTTTAATGAATTAATTCTATCTACATATTACATAATTTGTTTAAAAACAAATGTTCTTTCTGTATCAATTCCCGTTTGGGCCATGGACCGCAATAATGTTACTCCTACTATCAATTTTATTTACAGGCAGTAAGGCACTTGAGAGTAAACTAAGGTAAACTGTAACGACGTACAACTGTAACGAGTAAACTGGACGAACATCTACCAGGACCACAGACCTGGTAGCACAAAAACGTTGGATTCAAGTTTGGTGGACGCCTTTACCAGCAATAGATACCGAATGGCTAAAGCATCAGAAGATACACACGGACTTCGTCCGACCGAACTGTTATGTTTTCCCGAGAACTCACAACCTCTTACACTTGACTTACATAATCCTTGACAACGTGTTATATTGTAGAGGCTTCCTTTAATCTTTATTAGCACGTTAATATTACATAAAAATATTTTGTTCATCAACATTCAACACATTGTGGGAACGGCGGACCGTCTAAAGTAGAATTAGACGTCACTGACGTACGACCATCTCTCCCTGTAACTATCGAAATAACACTTTTATGTTCAGAATCACTGTCCCCACTTAGTATAATGTTCGTTTCGCCCGCGAATCCCGAATCTATTTGTTCTTGGCTACGCGCTATCTTTTCTCTATTCTCCACATCTAAGCCTAGTTCTTCATATATTCTTTTGGAGTCATTGTAGTTACCGAAGAATACGGAGTCTGTTTCGACGCTCTCTCCACCTGATTCACTTCGTCCGTCGCATAGAGATTCTAGCTCATCTGTGTCTGATTCTATTTGCAAACCCTTACTAAGTGTCGGCACTGGCTTTGCTATAAGGTCGGGGGTTAACTTTGGTTTTAACTGCATTAGGTATCTTGCTCGGCGTTTGGATTCATTAGAATCGGTACTTAAGTACCCAGAATCTTCAGTTTTACTTGTTTTTTTAACATCGAGTCTACGTGTTCTAGTTCTAACTGAGCGTCTTCCTGATTTTCGTGAATTGTTATCTGATCTAGGTGGAAATCTGTCTCGTTCTTCAGACGATTGATGGCGGTCACTTTGAGGGCTGTTACGTGTTGACGACGTTTTAGGTAAATCTGAATGATTTTTCTGTTTTGATGGTAGTGGGGGTTTTAAGTTGCCTTGATCGCTATGCAAAAGATCTATCTTTTCAACATATTTATTCAACTTTTGAGAATCACTCGAAATACTACCTCGTCGTTCATAAAACGATTCATCGTGAGCCCTAGTTTTTGCTTCATAAATTTGTCTTAAGCTACCAATTTTTCGCGTAAAAGCTGCTTCCGGTGGTGTTTTTTCTTTTTGATCTTGAGGAACGTTTATTTTGTTCTTAAAACTTCCACCAGACTTGAGTAAAATTTTTTCAACACACTTCTTGGTTTCCACTGGTTCATGAGGTTTCTTTGGTTTACGATCGAGTGTGTCCGGATCAAAATCCTCATTTTCAGGTATACATTCCCCTACTGGAGACCCACGTACTTCAATAGTCAGAGGCCCAGGATTATCAATATCATTGTAAATAGGTTCATTGCCATTAAGAAAAATATCTTTTGTAAGAGTTAGCTTCTTCATTTCGGAAACATTAAGAGCTGGCTGTAAGGATGAAAAATTGTTGTCAATTGCATTTTTTAAATCACGCCAACTACGCGATAGTCTTTCTCTAGATTTTTCTAAGTTTTGCTGACATATAACATCATCTTGCTCTGGTAAATCAGATGCGAAGTCTAGAGAAAATCGTCTTTGTTTATTAGACGTTCGCTCCAAACTGTCAAAGTCAATATCAACATCTCTTTGTATATAAAATTCTTTTTTGTATACACCATCCACAATGTTATTATTACTGGGATATTGTGAATCAGCTGCAATTACCGGAATAATTATTTTTGGAGCAGCCCCCTCAAGTAATATTTCTTTATCGTCCGGTTTGACTCTTTTACATCTATTTAATTCACGAATCACAGCTTCCATTTTTTCTTTTACTTCTGGCAAAACTGGTTCCGGTTCTTCCTCATTTTGAGTATAATCTGTTACTGGCGGCGGCGGTGGAGGTGGCAATCTTTTTCTGACCTTTCGGGTGGCGTGATTCAATCCTGACCGTTTTTCGTGATTAACGTAATTTGGATTGATTATATTGCTACTTTCATTCGGTTCTGTATTTTTTATTGAGTGATCTTTGGATTCAATAGCTTGAGGCTCCGATATTAATTCTTTTAGTATCGCTTCTGATATTATTAATGTTTCAGAGTCCTCGTTACGCAATGGTTCTGCTGGATTAATTCGCATTTCCTCTTTTCCCTTGGGCTCTATAACTCTCGGTGTTCCACTTACTTTAGCAACCCTGGTTGGTCTTGCCGTATTTGCAGACGGTAAAGGAACATCTTCTAACCACCTTTGAACTATTTTTTGTTTATAGTCGTCACTAACACAAGTTTTACATGAATTAGATCGCATTAAACTAGCAGCACCTTGTCCCCTAACACTACTATCACAACCGGGACACCCACCACAATGTATTTGTCGCCTACTATTCTCCCTTTTCAGACTGATAGCGCTGAATCTTCTGCCACGCTTGGCACAAGGAATATCCCATCCTAAATCAATCGTATGGTATGATTCTTCTTCTGCTATATCAGAAAGGTTTGGTATAAAGCGTTTTGACGTCATCTTTTCTTTAGCTATAGACATCACTTCGCGAAGTTTATTTAAAAAGTCCACAGCGGCTGCGGGTGGATTCTGAAAATCGTATTTGCACATTAAAACACAATACTTCTTTGGAAAACATAAATAAATCTAAAGCGTAAATCGAGATACCTTTAAATGGTCTGTCTCAAAGAACACAGGGTTGAAGTAAAGTTTCCTCCTTATTACTGGCTCCTCATTGGTGACATGTGTATGGGGAATATTGTCTATCACGTTATTATCAATATTGCAATGTAAAATTGACACATCGGAATGTGGAGCTCTTTCCATTTCCGGTGATGCCGATCGCCTGTGCAATCTCTCATTCAGTCTTTCAGGAGTTGATGTAGCTCTGATTGTAGGGCGGGTGGGTTTCTTTCTTTTAGCATGCACCACAGCTGATACGATACTGGAACTTGGTTCCTGAAACTTTACGAACATATTATTACAATTAACAACACTTTTATTAGATACATTTAATTTATTACTCTTTGATATATGCATACGTACTCTGTGATAGTTAGGTGGGGACGAATCTATAGTATCTTCAGTTTGTTCACTGACATCCGACAGTCCCGCATCGTTCATATAATCATTTCTCATACTATCCATTAGCGGATTTGTTTTCAATCTCTGTAATGATCGGTACATTAATTATTGATGTCTGTGAGTCAAATTTATCAAGAACCATTTGTAACTTACCATACTGTCCATATTAATCCTTGAATCTAAAGTTGATTCATTTTCACTGGATATCGCGTTAGATATATTCATTTCTGGATCTTTAGGTTTCTTCCTCTGCTTTTGCTTGTAGTGTATGTAAAATATAATACCAGCAGCGTATATAAAGACCAGCATGAGAACGCACACTCCAATAGCTAGGGATTCAAGGACGCTTAGGCCGCGACTTTGCGTAGCTGGCTCACTGGTTACTGTTTCGCCAGCGTGGAATGGTATTGATCGTACATCTGAAAATTGTGAATGAATTTAGTTCAACAAAGAACATCGACAAGAAAAGACGCCGATGCTTGTATCTAATGCGAGTGTATAATAAACATTATAACAATACAAATATAAACGTTAAACAAATTTAAAAAAAAAATTTTATCTCAACTACGACCCGACGTTTAAAATGTTTTTAAATGAGTAGGCGTCTCACAGTGACCACTTCTTTAAACTTAGTTTCGAAAATAGTTAATCACCTTTAACGTCTTAAAAACCTGATATATATTTACTATTATACAATTATGATGAGGAAAAATCCTTTCATTTTTACAGTTCCTAAATCTAATAGACTTAAAACTATGATTACCAAGTAGAGCGTTGTGAGTAGCACCAGCGACACGAAAGGTAGCACATGATGTAGCAAGTCTTGCTGGGGGAGGAGCTGAACATAAGACATGGGTTGCCACCAGTCTGCCCTCTAGCCTCGTGTGTAACGCTGATGACCCCTTCCACTGCGTAACAGAATACTATTAGAATCTCTCATAATCATAAATGCTTTTAAACAAAACAGTGCTTATATCGTAATAGAATCGTTAAATTTTGTTTTTTCTTTACCGTGTACTTCTTATTAGTTTAATGGTGTGGAATATATTTAGCATAAACTTAAGTGTAAGTTATAATATATTATAGAAAACTTTTCTTTTAATTTATTGAGGAAGGCATAATAGGCTATGAAAGATCGTGCTGCGACTTGTGAAGAAACAGTGAAGAAGTTGAAAAAGAAACGGGAAAAATATTCATCTTCGAAGATTTCCGTTGCGCGCCAAAGATACTAAAAAAATATGTATGAAGGAATGATTCCTCTTTATATGATCTATAAAATAACCGCGACAATACAGGTCTATCTTTTAAGATTAACTTGTAAAAACCATGGGACGCGGACGACGTCGTGGGTAATAGCTATAATTTTTACAGATGATGGGGGGTTTGCAAAAACAAATTTTGATGACTAATATTTGCGGACTAAATCACTAGCACAGAGAATTGTTTAATGAAATACCTATAGCTGCCGACTACGGGAACTTCGGCATTTTAGATTTGTGATTCTTTATAAGATATTTACTAAAATCCCACATTTATTATATATACTGAACTCGCGTTATCCATCATTCGCTATCATCATGCGAATCTAAATGCTAAGTATTCGGACAGTTTACACAAATTGGTCCTTTGAAGCCGCACCTTATCAAGGAATTCATCTGAGTGTCACATTTAACACCTTAAAAGCAGGAAATCAAACTGTAAGGCTTTTCAAATAAACCGACTCTTTTAAATTCAAACAATTTTTAAAACGAACACTTTTAACGGTTTAAAACGTTAATTAATCAACTTATATACAATTAATTTTAAATACGGCCCGACGTATGTTTTGCAATAGACGTGGTCACAGGAGGACACGGTTAAAATAATTTGTCAAACACAAACATTTAGAACACAACAAAAAGAGAATAATGTATTTAAATGAAACACTAACGGTTTGAAACGCGATATATATTAGTTAAACTTATTTGAAAAATATTTTTATATACAGCATAGACATAATGTACATATATCTTGTTTTCGAAAATAAGTTAATTATTTCGCATTTTAAACCATTAAAAGTTTGAAAACGCACTATATAATTTAAAAATCAAAAATAAATTTGAAACAATTTCGACTCTACTAAAACTAAATTTAATTAAATTTATTTCCCATTTTATTATAATTTTATGTTAAACCATTAAAAGTGTTCATTTCAAATGTCTACTACTCGCGTAAAGTACAAACAATATAAAGCGATTTTTAAAACAATAATAGCATAATTGGTTGGAGGATTGGAAGCGTGTCATTCAAAATATGACCTATTTCAAAACAGAGGCTTCATGTTTTTACTTGTTTGTTATAAAAAGTTTATAGGAGAAGCTAACTGACCTGGCAAACGTTTTTGTGCCATATGAATTATTTCTACGAAATTTGATTACCATTAAATTTTGTAGACATATAATAGATTGACATTAACTAACAGACATATATTGCCGCGAACATTTTCTTAAGAAAATTAGTAATTGTCCTGTGTTTAAATACTGTCTATAGTTTACGCGAGTAGTACACATTTAAATAAAACACTTTAACGGTTTAAAACGCGATATATTAGTTAAACTTATTTGAAAATGATTTTTAACTTCGGCCCGACGTTTCGGATGCTTTGCAGCAGCCGTGGTCACGGGGAGACTGTCTCCCCGTGACCAAGTTTAACTAATATATCGCGTTTTAAACCGTTAAAGTGTTTTATTTAAATGTCCTGTGTTTTTTCATTTTCCTCTTTTTCTCCGCTCCTATTGGCTGATGTTTTATAGCCTAAAGCTAACTAACGGTCCGACCAACACATAATAATTTTTCAATTCGAACCAGCAGTTCCTGAGATTACCGCATTCAAACGAACAAAAGTGTTCAGCTTGATAATATTCGTATAGATTATAATGCAGCGTACATATTTACACCGTTACACCTGTTACAAGCAAAACTGAGGCGCTAATAATAATATCATCTTGAACTCGAATATTTTGTTGCCATGTGTTGAGAGTCGAGACAGTAAATTAGTCAAGTGTCATTGAATCTCAATAAAAAACATCAATAGGTGGTAGACGCGACGTTCTAAGAATTTGTTTCTGATAGGAAATACCTTTTCTTAATAATCTATACTAATATATAAAGCTAAAGAGTTTGTTTGTCTGTCTGTATGTATGTTTGAACGCGCTAATCTCAGGAACTACTGGTTTGAATTGCATAATTTTCTTGTGTTCGTTTTAATCGAGGGAGGCTTATAAACATCGCGCTACGATAATAGGAGTTAAGAAATAGCGAGAAATATGGAAAAAACCGGGTAAAATTATTTGTCCTTGTGGGTTTCCGTTGCGTTCGCTGCCAAAACGGTTCAAGATAAGAATAACGGGACGACATACGTCGTGGATGACAGTTATGATGGAGATTTGCAAAAACAAACTTTGATGCCAAAAATAACTATTCTACGCGGACGAAGCCGCTGACACAGCTAGTGCTATTTCTGACGAGCATTACGTATGTCATATCGGTAGTTTCGGTGTACCGTTAGAACAAGAACCGGGTATCCACCGTATCACATTAAATCGTATTAAAATCACCTGATAATATTCAATTGCATTCAAGCCCAAAACGGATTTTCGCGGATAACATCTTAACTAACATTTAATGAAGCTCAAATACTTACAGTATAATAAATACATAACTTTAATGGAATAATTGAATATGGCTCCTTTATGTGTATTTTTATTACGCATAAACGCTGTTTCATAAGTGTTTTTTAATGTTAAAGGAACAGACCGATTTACATTTTTTAACATAAAAATGGAAATATCATTAAAACAAACTAAAATTTATGTAAACTTGATAATAATATTTTTATGTACGTTTAATGATATATTAAATCCCCAAATGTAACAATCTAATATCCCCAATGTAACAGTCTCTTGTTTGAAAAGCAAGAACGCTTATAAAACTTGGGGGGTAAGTTGCGAGTTTTTGGACACCATTTACGACGAGCAACAAATTAGGACCACCATGCTTTGTTTTTAAACGATTTAGCCAAAAGGACAAAATTATATTATCTTTTATTGTCATGATGTCCGCAAGGACGCAAGTCAAACGGACCGGTATTAACTCCCGGTGAGATAAAAATTTTACGAGCTCACTGCAAGTTGGATATAACTAAACCGAATAGTCGAGTGTTCAATTAAAATTTTGAAAGAAAAATCTGGATGCGACAATAATAATTTACAGTATACCTAACAATTTACAAAGAATTCTAATTTGTTTATTACAAAATATTATCTATATTTTTAGTCTATGTCAAATACTTATTTCTTATTTACGCCTAATGCGGTGTTTAATGTATTTTAAACATAAACAAAATTGGTCAACGATCTTAAATCCATATATGTTGTTTCCACATAATATCATAAATAAACTTACAAAAATGTTTGCGATACTTTATAACTGTAGAAAGGACATTCTAAACAAAATAATCCGTGTCGTTTTGCGCGAAAGAATTTTAGCGTATCTAGTTTTTAGTATCAATGTTTTCCTTATTATTGGTTCTCTTTATTATATCGTCGTCTTTGATAAAATCTTTCTTTATTGAAGTTTATATTTCTGAATATGTAAACGATCAATACTTTAATTACTTATAATATTTGATAACGTATGTAATAAACATGTGATGATAATTTGGCCATTTTGGTTTCATATCAGTGTAGGTAATCGAGTTGGATTATATCAACATGGGCGGTGAATATGATGTTTAAGAAAACAGAAAATAATCTTTGTATATAATATTAGTCTAATCAATTATGTTTTATCAAATTTATACAAGTAAAGGCACTTGCCACTATTCAAATGTTGCTCACAATCTACGGTCTAATGGTAGAAATGTATGGCTTACAACTACGGTTCTAATAAATTTATCACAACTCGCCAATAAATAAGGCGTAATGTTAAATAGTGTGGATTTCATTCTGTGGTTTTCCGATAATCCAAGAGCAAACTAGGTCGACGGCGCATCTTGTTTGGATGTTATATGGTTGGGTGATCCTTCCACCAAGTGTTGGAATTTGTCTTCCAGAATATTATGTTAAAAAAATGAATTTACACGTTTGTAATAAAAAGGACAGGTGAAAAATCTTCTATATATAAATTACTACTTACTTGAAGATAAGTGCTCCCTTCATCTCTGTAGAGACCAAAAGGTACATCGTTGTCAAGTAAATCGCGAAGAGTCACCCAACCAGAGGAAGAAAGATACTGCGCACTTGTCACTGCGCATATGGCATCTTCAACATCTAAAAACATTTTAATTTTTAATTAAACAATCGAACAATATTGTTATATACTCATATATAGTTTTTAGTACACATGACACCAAATAATTTATATGACTCAATAAATTCCGGGCCACTTATGTTAATGGCATGTAAAACAAGATATTTCGTAATTAAAAGCTCAGTCTGGTTTAAGGTTATTAACAGTTACAACAATTAAATGTTGTTTACCTGTAAAAACAATTTCTTTTGAGGGATAAATTATTTGCCCTTTCAGTGGAAGAAAGACGAAAGGTATTTGCGGCTTTGTGGAACCGCGGCCGAAGCTGGCCATTGGACATTCTGTAAAAGAAAAAGAAAAATTGCATAGATTATAAATCGCATTTACGCGCCTAATTATAGGCACAAGATCAGGCAAATCAGGCAAGAAAAGGCAAAATCTCGATGGTCATGGTTTGTGTTTAAATTTCGAACTCTTTTTGCATTTGTAAAGATTTTGCATCTGTTGTACGTTTAAATAGTACTATTTTAAGGTTAGCTGTGCTTATTCTATTTTTAAAACAGAAATGTCAAAAAATAACCTTGGTGTGTTTCATAGTCTGTACTTATGTCTTTTTGTGCATTAAAAATCATACTTACTATTTTTTTTAAGGTATTAAGATAGTTTTAATTGTGTAAAAAATTACAAAAGAAAAACTTATTGCGTTGGTATAATAGTAACAATGTATGGCTGATAATCAACGAATCGTGGGTGCGTTACCCATAGGGTCCAACATTTTTCTAATTAATTTGTAATTTCTTTGCAACATCGGCTTCGTCTGAAAATCCGAATATGAATTGGGTGGTAGGAATATTGAAATTCCGTCCGACTCACCTTTAACGACCTGTCCTACCGTAAAAAATGCGTTCGAAATAGTCCAATAGCCCCGATAAGTTAAGTCATTATCTGCCAAACATATCGTAGATTATTCATCTGAATAGCATATCATAGGAAAGAATTTCACTCACGTTCATCAAATTATAATAGCTCCACATTTCCTAGCATGACACGACAACCTTAGCGTTCTGCTTATTATGACTACGTAGCAATTTCAGCCCAACAATCTGTGGTGGCTAGTAATTACTAGATTGACAATGTTTAACCATCATTTGAGGCGAGTTAAGCTGACCTTACTTTGTTCGTTGGACCTTTACGCCTCCTCATGTATATTAATAATAAGATTACTTACAACTTTCTTTGAGAGATGTGTTATTTTTCTATTCATTTCGATGATTTGGCGTTTACTTATGTGTTATAATATATTGATATATATATTTGGCGGTTGGCGATGAATGAAACGATGAATGGCGGTTATTCATGGTTGTTTTTTTACTTATAATATTTGATACTTATCTGTAAATTTCTTAACAATGTATGTATTTAAATAATAACTTGAACGGTTTAAAACGCGATGTACATTAGTTCATCTTAGTTTGAAATGTGGGTTTTAGCTACGGCCCGACGTTGGATGCGTGTATGTAACGTATGCAACTTGTACAAACAACGCAAAACAATAAACTACCTATTCTTTAAATTTTTGCTTCTTTTATTATGTCTTATGGTCTGTATAAAGTCGCAGGACACATTAACAATTTAAACGGTTTAAAACCCGAATGATTAGTGATTTATTTATAATACATTTGTCATAAATATTGATAAACTAAAAAGTTAAAAATCGATTTTAGATTGAAAAACACGAGACTGGCAGGACTTGAACTGGCATATTTTTTTCAATTTAAAATTGATCGTTTATTTTATTTATATGGTGCCATCAAGTGCAAACATATGACAAATATTAAAGCTTCAAACATGATAAGTGTTATATTAAGTATCATAATTATGTTACTGAATTAACTCCGCACGCGTTTCTAGAATTTGAATAAATACATCAATAACTAACCGTCAATTTGATTGACGCAAATGCGACGGTCCTCTCTGAAGGCGGGCGTATCCCCCCGACATTGACACGTGCAGCCTGCGCCCCCGATGGTAGCCAGAGCGGTCCCGTGTGATACTTCCATGCAACGGGTCATACCGCAGTCAGTGCCTGCAACATAAAATTCTCTAATCAGCTGCTATGAATCATAAATAAAACGCTTTTAACGGTTCAAAACGCGCTATATTAATTTACTTATTTTCTTCCCGAAACGGCAGGTTTGTTTAATAGTTGGTGTAGTGTAAATAGAGCAACGACCAGAATTAAGTGCTAGTCTCCAAAACTAAAGAAAGTCATTTTCGACAAACTTTAGTGGCTGTCAGTTCGTATTTTTAGTTAGCTAAAAATAAATGAACGGATACTTTTGCATTTTAAAGTGTTTTATTTAAATGTGTACTATATTTACTAAGTGAAATAATTCTTTGATATTCTCAAATCTGTAAAGTAAGAGTTATTTACAAAATATACATTTGTGTCATACCTATAAGAAGGTTTTCAAGTTGAAGCACATCAGTATCGGTTGACTACATACACATACTACTACATGTTCTATACAGTCATTAAATATTAACAATAATTAATTGTTTGAAATTCCTCCTAAACTATATTATTATTAAAACTTTTTCAATTTTACTTTGAATATATTTTTTCACGACTAACCTGTTAGAGTAAAGAAATCCCCAGTAGCGAATCTTGTAACGTTAGCTAGCGCCATCTCTGCGTGTGCAGCTGTACTTAGTGTCGCATCAATCACCAGAATCAGAAGAATAACTAGCGCCATCTTACGCCGTCTATAACGTTAATAGCACACTTCTTTTGTTTTGTCGTGCCCTAAGAGATGGCGCTGATACCAGCCCGTCATTTTTAAAACAGAAACTGTTGTAAAAATCATTTTTGGACAATTAATAGATAGTCATATTTTTACCTGAAACAAGAAACGGTTTTTAAAAATACATATATTTTTATATATTATATGACGCACTTGGTGAATTATTTCAACTTAATTTTTTTATACAAACAATACCATCGCAAAGGATTTTCTTCTTAAAAAAATAACCAAAGAATGTTTTTAGATTTTAGACTCAAATAATGACTTCAAAAATTGTTATTTAATAAAGCAAAGAAGATTTTCTCCTAAAATCAATACATAATATCTTAACACACATAACTGGTGCAAAATTCTGCGATATGCTAAATATGTATGTCGTCCCACTTAAAAAATACGGAAGTTTATTGACACTTGAAAATATCTAACAAGTAAATCACAGACGTCGCCCGCTGTGCTAAAACTCATTAATAAGTATTTCGCCAGCTAATGGAATACAGTAAATTCGGATATTTCATAAAACATTCAAAAGAGAAAATTTATCACTCTTAAGACTTTCGAAATCTGTACGTCTAGGAATTAATTATGCATACGATATCGGAATATTCGCCCGTTACAAATATTTGACACGAAAATCTTATAAGAACCACTAGCTGCGTCAGCGAAAGTATCCGCGAATAGTACTTAGTCCGCGAAGACTATTCTATATTGTTTTGGGCATCTAAATTTGTTTTTGCAAACCTCCTCTTCATCCTTACAAATTTAAGCTGTTGCCCACGTCAGTCGCGTCCCGTCGTTCTTGCAAGGTAATCTTAAACTATAGACATATAGGTCACGAACATTTTTTAGATCATTTAAAGAGAATTTCCGAACCTTGATGGGAATCCCACAAAGTATGATAATTTCCCCGATTTTTTGCACATTTTCCGCTGTTTCTTCGCTACTATTAGTTACAGCGCGATGATTTATTCGCCTTCTTCGATAATTTTCTATCTAACCCAAAAGATTTTTTCAATTCGAACCAGTAGTATAGGTCGCCCTTTATATGTTAATTAGAAATTTCCTTAATTTTATAAATACTGTTTCTTCATAAATATTCATATCCAATGAGCAATTATTACGGATGAGTTAATTATTGATTCGCTTTAGTTGTTATGGTTATATAACCTTTTTCACTTTCTGTAGTTTTTTTATAATGAAGACAAATACGAAGCTGCTAGAGGCAGAGTAGCTTCGTACGTATATATATTTTCATAGTCCAAAAATGTTGACAAGAGCACAGTGACCGAAAATTACGTACGTTAAATTATAAGTACGTCACAAGAATTTTCTTGACTTTTTGTGCCTCCCTAGTGTGACGTCACATGTTTTGCAATTTCACATCGAAAAATTATTAAATTAAAACAGCAGTTCCGAAATTAGTTTTATTTCGTTATTCAGTACAGTTGGAAATATTTTTTAGTTTAATTAATATTTCAAATCACGCGGTTAGTACCTCTAGATACATTAGATCCATAAAGTACGTGTGTCGTATTTTATGGATGACTCCAGCTACTCTGTCTAGCAGCCTTAATTATCTTTTAGATTTGCGATAAATTTAATAATAATTATAAATAGAACAACAATATGATGTTACTTTTCTTTTTATGAAAATATCGTTAATAGTCAGTACTATCTAAGATGTTCCAAACATGTTTTACTTTAAATAACCGTAATAATTACCGTCTTTAAATTGAACTTACCTTACATTTAACTTACCGAAAATGTTAAAAACCAGTTACAAAAGTACTATCAATCAAATGAAGCAATGGACATAAATATTTACGACCGTGGCGCCAGAACGGCTATAATCTTGACAATGGTCATTGTGGTTTTACGAATTGATGAATAGTCAAAGTCAAAAAGCAATTATGTAAATACAGTGTCATATTAACCAATAAAGTGGTTAGCAAAGTGTTGAGAGACAGTTATTGGTTGTGTATTTTATGGCCCAGCCTATTGTGGCCACTGGGCACATCGCTGCCTACGCATAGTCGAGGAGCGTGCTCACTTTTTTGCATTATAAACAATTTAAATATAATATTATACAAGTGCTGTTGTTATATTGTCGAAGTTATATTGTAAATAAAATAACTATTAATCTGATATTTTTATCAATGCAGATTATACGATCAAAAAAGATTTTTGTTAAGAAACCAAAATGTGTTTCTGTATTCTTTATAATAATAGTTCTTAATTGGCTTGTTTTTATTTATGCATATTTCTCCACTAACAAAATAACAAAAAGTTTGAAAGGCCCTATCAGCCATCAAAGTACTTGCTTATTGCTTTTCTACTACGTCAATCCAGCACAATAGATAATCAATTGTTAAATATTGTCTGTTGTAATTTAAATGAAACTCTATTAACGGTTTCAAATGCAATATATATACAGTTAACTTATTTTAAATTGGACTCTTCCTATGGTGGGATCGTAGTAAAAATAAATTATAGATGCCTTTTAGATAAGATATATTTATTTTTTTAACACAATTTTGTAATTGAAAACTACATGACAATAATATAAGGTTGAAATAGATGTTCAAATGAAAGTTGGTAGAAGCTCTAGGACTATGTCGGTGGCTTTATTGTTTCGGGTCATCATTATTTATATTGCTTATTGAAACAAATGCTTATCTGATTGGCTTTAACTGATTTATAGATACACAGTTAGCACGTGCTAGAATGACTGATGGTTACTACACTGTAATTCAATAAATCAATTTGCTGTTTCGATATAGGATATTACCTAATATTCAAATTTGTGTGAATCTAAAGTTAGGAAACAAATTGCAATGCTTATAAAGTAACCTGACGATGCAATAAGTGGAAATACCAAGAACACATATAATAATACTTAAAGCGTAACACATTTCTGTGTCCGTACCACTGTTTGGTTCTTTCACAAGCAACTAGTTGAGCTGTCTATAGTTTACGCGAGTAGTACACATTTAAATAAAACACTTTAACGATTTAAAACGCGATATATTAGTTAAACTTATTCAGAAATGACTTTTAACTTTTTAGTCTCCCCGTGACCACGGCTGCTGCAAAGCATCCGAAACGTCGGGCCGAAGTTAAAAATCATTTCCAAATAAGTTTAGCTAATATATCGCGTTTTAAACCGTTAAAGTGTTTTATTTAAAAGCAACTAGTTGATTAGACTTCTGTGCCCTGCCCGATCGATACAATTTATCGTTTGTCCGCGATTTGAACCAGAACCTCTCGCGCCTAGCGTAATGTTAGGCACACGTTTAACTATTTAGCGACAGAGGCGGTCAATAGTCGCAACTGCAAAGGTAATATCGATTTTCCATTTATAAAATCTTATATGCTTACATGGCTTGACAAAAACGTTTCTTCTTGGTCGCTATCGTCGAATGCGAGTGATCATTTCAAAAAATATTGCTCAACTGGATACAATAAAGCTTTCATAGCTTATTTCTATCGGCTATAAAAGGCTATTATGATCATATCTCGTATATATTATAACAAAATACGAACTAGGATGATAATTTAAACTCGTATATTCCCAAAGTATATTTGTTAAACGGTATTTTGTTTTCCCAGCCACTCAAAATCGTTCGATTAAGATAACACTCAGCAAGGGACATAATTTAGTTTTTGGCGATACCGAATGCAAAATACTTTGCATGAAATTATCATAAAATATAGAACCGTCGCTGTTTATGTGATCAGTGATAGCTTTTCTAATAGAATATATATATGTTAAATTTACAACATACATATAATTAAATAATAATGGTTTTAGTATAGTACAGTTTTTTTATCTTTATCTAATGTCAAAAACCAAAATAAACAAACAGCTCATTTCATAAGCGTTTTGCAAAGCATTGAACCTAAATGTCCTAAAGTTACGGTTGAAATTACATTGCGCGAGAGTTGCATGTATAAAGGTTGAAAAAATTGGACGATAACGTGTGGAAATGAAAATTTTTGTATGATAGAGATGGACAGTCAAATAGGAGGTTCACTCGATGGTAAGTAATACCCCGGCCATATAATCTATACTAATATATAAAGCTGACGAGTTTGTTTGTTTGCTTGTATGTTGGAACGCGCTAATCTCGTGGACTAGTAGTTCGGTTAAACCACCTATTTAGGAAGATTATAGGCTATAAAACACCCGATGTGACTGATAGGACCGAAGAAGCAGCGAGTAATGCTGAAAAAACAGGGGGAGTTCATCACCTTAGAGGGTTCCCAATCCGTACGCTGCAAAAACGGTTCAAGATACCAAAAATATTTTTAAAGATTTATTGCTCTTTAAAGAATCTTAAAAAATGTCCGCGACACTATATGTTTATATTTTAAGATTAACTTGCAAGAACGACGGGACGCAAGAACGACGTCGTGAGTAACAACTTAAATTCATAAAGATAAGGAGGTTTACGAAAACGAATTTGGTTGAATACTGTCTATAGTTTACGCGAGTAGTACACATTTAAATAAAACACTTTAACGGTTTAAAACGCGATATATTCGTTAAACTTATTTGGAAATTTTGCAGCAGCCGAAACGTCGGGCCGAAGTTAAAAATCATTTCAATAAGTTTAACTAATATATCGCGTTTTAAACCGCTAAAGTGTTTTATTTAAACGAATTTGGTTGTCCAAAGTAACTATGTATCCTACTTATTAAATTATTATAACATCTAAGCAAGATACGTTGTTTCTTGTCTTTGAATATTAGGAATATATATCGGTGACAATACGAGTCTCAAACACGTCTGTCGTCTTACTGACAGTAAGTTATTGGGACCGGCCGTTAGACGTGCCTATGTTGGCGATCAGCCGATGTGAGGCACTTGTTACAAATCTTATTCTTTTTTTAATATTCCTATTAATTTTTGGATTAAAAATCGAAAACAAATTTTTAAAACTTCGACTCGGGCA